CTGCTGAAATTCATTAAAACAGTTAATGATTTACAAAGGTTCTGATTTTTCATCATTATGAAAACTGAGTTTGAACGTCCTATGCAAAACCTTTTTTTAAGTTCACTTTACTAGAGGATAAATACAGGGGGAGTTACTATATGTGTTGTGACCTCGAGTGAGAGCTTATATTCTACTGGGAAAATACAGTGATAGCCGAGTGGCAGAAATCACCCATATATTTCACTCAAGCTTGCAAAAGTGCCATCTTTTAAATAAAACTTGTCATGCATATTTGCTGCTCAATTGCCACCTGCCAATCACTGTTACTCAATGCAAATTGCTTTGGGGCAGCTTCTGATCATGAAAATAATAAACTGGTGGCATCTTGCTCCATTGTAAGTGGTGGTATGATATCACTACAGTTTTTTTCCTAGGGATATATTTGAATAATAATGTCCTTGCATTTCTGTTGGCAGTACGGAATGCTACTCTATCAGAATTACAGAATTCCCCAGCAGAGAAAAGCCATGCTTCCACACTTTTCCACTCCAGTCGTAAGTAATGAACTTTACCTCGTTAATGTACGATGTTGGGAAAGATATGTTTGCTTTTGCATTTTAAAAGTGGAAAATTCTGCGCTCAGAAATGTAAATTCAGCATTGTGTAGCAAATCAATGTAAAGTTCACGTTTCGCATGAGTACAGCTTTACGTGGTTGGCTCTCCATTAGCTTAGGCTTACATGATCCACATGACTGAAAAATCTTGGATACGTCAGGCACTTTTGAGATGTACAGTACAGAGACATCTGGCTATCTCTGCAGAAGCCAGCTTAGGTCTGGCAAAACGAGCACGTAAATTTCCTAAAATATGTTGGGCCAAGAGCTGACTGTTAGCTATCTAAAAGTGAAGATCCTATATTTGGATCCCAACTGGCCCTGAAAATGCCTGGAATATAGTAATAGTGGGCAACTTGGGCAAATACAGATTTTGAATCCTCTCCCTCCCCTGAGGCCTAAAAAGAGAAGGCGTCTATTTTTGTGTCTGCAAATCTTATTGGAAGGGGAAAAAAAAAAAGAGAGATGTATTTGCTGTGCTGTTGAAGGATAACTTTGGACAGTCTTCTGAAATGTAAACATTTTGAACTGAAACTCTCAAGATGGTTTTTTCTTTCCCTGTTTTTTGAAACAAGTGACAATTCCTTTTCAGAGAAGTGTATCTGAAAACTCACTAGTAGCAATGGATTTTTCGGGGCAAATAGGAAGAGTTATTGATTTTTTAGAGTGCTGCCTTGGAAGAAGGACATGCTTGGAGGGTAGCTATCTTCTCTTCTTTTCTGTTTTTGTAATTAGTAAGTGTCTGTTGAGAGCCGAAACACAGAGCGTGCTATGATGTTAGTGCAGTGCTGGTCACAGTATAGCTTAGCTCCGACCTGAAGCAATCACACTGCAAGCATGCAGATCTGAAAGTCAATATCCATCTTTAGCAAAACTGTCACATTCACAACAACCTTCTACCACTGCTTCTCTGTCCCCCTAGTGTCCAGAGGAAAGTTGAGGGGGAAAGCAGACCCACCAGAACTTTACTGCCAGTTTGCAAAACCAGTCTCTGAGGAGGAATATGTCAAATTAAATGCTTCCCCACATGGAAGAGGCTGGGGCTCTGACTAATGGCTTGCTCCCAGTAAGTTTAATTGCAGAATATACAAGAGGCAGGACCTCTTGCAATGAAAACTGATGTAACTTGTTTATAGTGTCTTGTGGACAGACAGCCGCAGTACAAGTTTTCCCACATGCTCGTCTCTTAGGGATTAGGAGTCATTACTGAAGCACTAGCTGGTGCTTTATGTACGGGAGGGAAATACTGCTTGGTTTACTGAGTGCCTGGTGTTTTGCCTGAGCAGAAACATATCAGACTTTTCTTTTTTCTGTCATTTTTTTAATTTTCTTTTTTTTTTCCTTTTTTTTTTTTTTAAGATACTGAGCTTTCATCATTAACATCTGGCTTCTGTTTTAAGCCAACTGAAATGAGCTGCTGCTTGTAGATTAGCCCCCTTCAAAGTTGCATTTCTTTTTCCTCATCCTTGCATAAACTTGCCCAGCCCCCAGTTTCCTGTAAATTAAATCTGTATTGCATGTGCACTAATTCTCTTCTGTTGAGGCTTTAATGTGGATTTAACGGTAATTCATTTTCTCTATAGAAACGTAGCACAAGAATGAACATCTTGGGTAGCCAAAGTCCACTCCATCCTTCCACACTGAGTACAGGTAACTTCTGCTGGTTTATAAGCATAGTATCAGAGGCCTGTATGGGTAAATAAAAGTTATATTTCATACAGAGACAGAGTGCAGTCATGTAGTATTAATGCCTCGATACAGTGTTTATCAGTCAGTTCTGTGTCATTAATATGCTTACCCACACCAACATAGTAGAAGTACCTTGTTTTCCTTTGAAGGCACATTCAAGCTTTTCTTCAATATTAATCTTTTGAAACTTGTATTTTATAAAAACAGAGACTCTATGAGTGTGTCTGTTTAAATCAATCCAAAAGTCAATTCTTGTTTTAGATAAGGAAACTCAGTGAGTGATAATCTTTAAAGAGTGAAATTGAGTCTTCAAAATAGCATTCATTTCATAATATCCAAATAACGCAAAATACAGATACCTGTTATGGCAGTCCTGAACATCTCTTAGAAATTTTATGTTTATTAAAATTATAGGAAATTGTATATTAGTGTCCTGGACTTCTTAGAAGAAATACAGCTCTTCTCTGTTTCTATCCTGTGCTTCAGTTTTGTAGAACATAATTTAAAAATACCCTTTTGAGAAACAGTAAAACAAGGAACATTTTAACTCCACCCTTGAAAGCACAGGTTAAAGTGCGTTTCATTATTTGAGAGTTAAAGGGACTTGATTCTAACTTGTTAGCATATACATTGTATTCTAAGAATTGTTTAGTCCCAGCATTTTCAAGAAGCTGTGAAAAGGCAGTATTGTAAGAGATTTCTCTTGTCAACCTAATTGTACATCTGCAAATCAGAAAACACATGGAGTTAATGCCTGTCTACTTGGTACATTAAGTAGATGCAACAGTGGGTGCATTTTTTTTATATTGATTTGGTTTTTATATAGATTGATGAAAGATATTTTATATTCTGTAACAAAACTGTACCCACTTTTAAAATGTTTAAATAATTAGTGTGTGGAAAAAACTGTTGCCCATGTTACTGTTTTTAACCATCCTCTCTTTCCTTTCGCCTCCAGTTATTCATAGGACACAGCACTGGTTTCATGGCAGAATCTCTAGAGAAGAATCTCACAGGATTATTAAGCAACAAGGGCTTGTAGATGGGTAGGTATTCGTGTTGCTTAATATTTAGGGTCTGATGGTAAGTGTTATAGACAAGAGCGCATTTTCTGCTGTAAGGGCTTACAGGTTTGCGAGCACTTCTAAGTAACCTGGTTCTTGAGTAGTTCCATTGTAACCTGCCTGGATTTCAAAAAGTCACATGTTTGTAGTCACTATGTTTGTAGGAGTGGGTTCTAACACTTGATTTGAAGTACAGACTACTAAGAATACACTTAAGATCTCTTTTTCCCAACAGAGGCAATCAAGATTTAGAGAATGTTAGAATTTGAAAATAATTTCTGCATTGAGGACATATTTTTCAGGCAAAGCTCTACCTAGCCATTTGCCCACAAATTTATAATCAGCGCTTTGTGCTCTTTTGCTTGAGTCAGAGCAGTTAATGATGGTCATAGAATCATAGAATGGCCTAGACTGGAAGGGTCCTTAGAGATCATTTTATGATTTCTCATAATTTGTTTCTGTTCTAGAGCAAAGAAGTGACAGTACCTGTTCTAGGGCTTCCTAAAAATGTCTGTAGTTGAGATTTAAGTATCTCCTGAGCAACTCTGTTTCCCTTACTTATGTGTAGCTACGATTATTGAAGGGAAGTTGTTTGAACTGCATTCAGCATTTTTTTATTTGTAGGATGGGAAGGGCATGGTTGCCTCCAGTTCAGTAGCTTCACTGCTGTCATGGTTAAAGTAGAAACTCTCCTCATGGCTTTTCAGGAGATGGTCAAGACCTTCAAACCTTGTGTTGGCATTTTCTGATTCAGGAGCATCACTAATCTTAGTGAAGAATGAAATGCATTAGAGAAATAGAAATTGCTAGTGCATGTACATACTCATCAAGCAGTCTTTTTTATTGCTTTGGGCATTTGTTGGGATAAGGCTGTTGGGTTTTACTTGAGATCAGAGAAGAGACGCTGAGAAAGCAAAATAGCACTGCTAACTTGTTGGGTTTCTGGTTCTCTCACACTACAGATCTGCTTTACAATCTTGGGCTTGTTTTGACTTGTTGCCATAGGAGTCTAGCGACCTGTCCATCTTGAGGTTTTCATAAATGTGTTAATGCCTTTGAGGCAATGTTAAATTTGTGCCTAGCCAGCTTACTCACTGTGGAAGGTGAAGATTGGCTGTAGTGGGGTCAGTCAGCAGTGGCAAAAGAATCATGTTACCTATGTGCTCTGAGATCTAAGGATCATGGTTTTCAGGACAGAAAAGTCTTACCTGCATTTCCCTGTTCTGTGCGTTCTTGAACAGAAGAGCAGAAGGTTAACTGACTTCTGATGGCTCATGTAAGATGTTCAGCAATGTATGTATGCAGTTGGTATTGCTACCACTCGACTGTTTCTGGAAGCTATGGCTGAGGATGCGTCCTATCTTCAGTCATTGTTTGTGTGGACAACCTGTTGCTTGCCAGAGGTTGAGTGAAAAATTGCAGGATAAGTTGTGCTGAGCCTTGCTTTGTGCCAGCACCTTATGATATTGAGTGTTGGCTGAAATGGCTGCATCAAAGATAATTTAGGCTTACCTGCAGGCACTGCAGTAACCACAGGGTGGGTAAAATCTTTCTGCCTGAGATGGATCCCAGTATGTAAAGTTTTCGGTCCCTTTTCCACACATCTGGTCTTGCCAGGACTCAAAAGGAACGTCCTAATACTGTGCATGGTTTCTGGTGGTGGCAAGACAGGCCCGTCTTTGAGTATTGGACTAGGCCTAGGGACAATCGTGCATTTTTGTGGTATTGACATTTCTCAATCGATTCTGAGGAGCTGGAGTAAGTTCTTTTGGGTTCACAAGCAGTTCTTGCAGGTCAGCCTTGGAAAAGTGTGTTCCTGGCTTAGTGGTTAGCAACAAAGAGGGCTTGAGGCCTGCCCCAGTACCATGCTTGGCCATCTCATAAATCCACTAGTGATTAGCACTGTGAGCCTTTTGCCAAAGATGTATTCTTGTTTTCTGTGGCCTAGAGGGATTTTCCTTCTGTAGCTCATAAATGTCAAGGGAAAGAAGCACTTTTGACTAGATTTTTTTTTTCTCATACGTATGTATTTAATCGTTTGAGTTGGGACTTCAATTTTGTGGGTCAACTTTACAAGTGGCAGTTACATACTGTGTGATATTGCTCCTACAGTATATTCTCTTACAGTGATGCCGAGGGAAAAATCCTGTGACTGTTTTAGAGGAAAAACCAATGTGTTTTCCCTAGCTTGATAATGCGAATGCTACTTAACTGATAAGTCATTTTTAAAAGTATTGAGCTGTTTCTGTGTAATTTGCAGCCATTTAACTTAAATGTAATTTTGCTAACACTGGATTTCTGTAAATGATGCAAGGTACTGGAGAGGTTGAACAGATTCTCATGTATTACTTTCCCATCTACAGAAATCCAGATTTGCTTTGGAGTTAAATGATAACATTTTTTTTACGAGAGTATATAACAGTAATGGAAAGCTTCATTAGAGAGACCCTTTAAAAAAGCCTTGTACATACATTCATAAAGGAACAAACTATTGTAATGAATCTTTCACTTCTTCTTTCATCTATTTAGTGTTGCATAGCCATGGCATAAAAATCGAGAGCATATTGCCAGTTATAGAATCACCTAATAATGCAACTAAAGAAGATACAGGCAATAGCATAAAATGACTTAGCAGCTCTGATTATTTATGAAGAAATGGATTGTGGTATTCAGCGTGTACTTAAAAATGTTCTCTCCTAGACTATTTCTACTCCGGGACAGCCAAAGCAATCCAAAGGCATTTGTACTTACGCTGTGCCATCATCAAAAAATAAAGCATTTTCAAATCTTGCCGGTAAGTAGATTATTTTTGCTACTGATCACAAAAAAAAGAAATTCTAAATCATGAAGCTTTGCCAACATCTGAAGAGATCTCTTATTAATTGCTGATGTAATTAACAGGGATGTTTCCATTAGCAAATAGTCTTTAAAACTCTCAGATGTCTGATTAAAATTCTGTGTTAACATTGCCTGGGTATGTAAGTAATGTGCAGAACTTGTTCTCCGTGACTAACAGCAGCAGTTGCCTCCCTATCGCTTAGGCAAACCTAGAATAACATAGGGAATCTTGAAAAAGTTTTATTCTGACAGTTATCCAAGACTGTCTTGCTTAAAGTAACATTACACTGACATGTTGAGAACCTGTGATTTTTATCTCGGTCAAAAAGAGCGTCAGGAGTTTAAAATTATGTAGACCTCTCTATTGGTCCAGACCCTCTTGCTTTGCTTCGCTTGCCCATTTTACAAACAGTTAACAGATATTTTTGGAATATTTTTGCTTTAATGAAGACTAGTGCTGTCGCTACAACTTTGAATTACTCCACCCACAAGCTTTCATTTTCATAAACAAAACATTTCGAGGTGGGTTAACGTACGTTCTGTTCTAGTGCTGTGCATATTTTTGTGAGGATCTCTGGGCACGAGGTGGTTCGGGCAGTGCCCATCATTTACCTTACATCACGCGCTTCTGCTCTTTATGTTTTGCCACGCTTGCATCTCTTCATGTGCAGACTAACTTGAAAAGGATGTTTTGTTTCCCCAGTGCGAAGATGATGGACAGATATTTTTCAGCCTGGATGATGGGAACACCAAATTCAGTGATCTAATCCAGCTTGTTGAATTCTATCAACTAAACAAAGGAGTCTTGCCCTGCAAACTCAAACACCACTGCATCCGAGTGGCCTTATGACCTCAAATCTGACTCTCACTCAAGACTGGATTTGCTAGAAGAGTAGTTGTAAAGAGAACGTTGACACTGGGGAATTGGCAGATTTGTAAGTTGGTAAAAATAAATAAAAATATTATGCACCTTGGGACTCTGAAAGGGATGGATTCGACAGGTGCCAACAGACCAAGATTGCTGGTTTGTCTAACACCTAAGAGTGATTGCTGCTGAGTGTCCCAGCATCCCAAAAGTGGGGGGAGGGTATGTAAAACCATGAGTAAATTTGAAACAAAACTGGAAACTATCTTGGCTGGGCCACTTAACAGGAACAAGTGTGAAGAGAAATCTTTGAAAAGAACTCTTGCCCTGGAATAATCTTGACAATTAAGACTAGTGTGTTTACTTTTTGTATTGATCACTTTTTTTGCACTCCTACTTTGTTTCGGATATTGTATGCAGCCTATATTAGGAGCTGATGTGGCTTTTAAAATTCATGCAGGAGTTGGGTATTAATCTGCACCCTAAAATGTATGGAATGCTTCAGCCTAAAAGGATCTAGAAGAAAAACAAGAAATGTGTGTGTGTGTGCTCGCGCGTGTGTCTCAAAACTTCTCTGGAGACCTGAGGTTCGATGATCTGCAGATGTCTTTGAAGAAGCAATGAGGATACAATTCTAAAAGAACATACCACCATATATGTACTCTTAAAACTGTTGACTTGTAGCATTATGGCTGTAGTATGTTGATGGCATATTAGTGGCATTCAGTCATGCAAAGACTGTATTAGATTCTATGCACAAATTTTTATTATTGGAGTGGTGGTTTGTTTTTTACAGCCTTTTGACTGTTTTCCTGAGGAAACTTACTGTTACTAAATAGAATAGGACTGAATGACTACACTTGTATTTGGAACCACCATTTTTGTGAGAAGATTCTTCTGCGGGTAGTCTTAGTATGACAAAATAAAAAAGAAAAAAAAACCACACAAAAAACAAAGCAGTGTTTTTAGCTTTATAGCTCCTTGAATTTTCAGACTGTTTCAAAGAGCTCTTTCCATATAGTAAAGCTACAGTGACACAAAGCTCTCCTGGGGAATAGGGCATAAAAAGAACCGTACCCCTTCTGCTTTCTGTAGGGCCATAACAGTTTACACGGTGAGAAAGAACATCCTGGGAATGGAAGCTCATTTGATTGTGAGCTAGCTGCTGGCAGTATCATCCACCGAGGCAACTGGCGTGATCCGCTAAAGCACACCAGTACCTATGGCAGACAAGCACGTGTCCTGCTCTGGTGCTGGTTTGTCGTCAGAACTACTTTATTGTTAATGTTTAAATCGATTGTTTAATGTTTACACGATAACTCTTTCTGATGATAAATCAGTATTAAAGTTAGACGAGTCTCCCCTCCATCCACCAGTTGCAATGACCAGACCTTGAGCCACGCAGCTGGTGCAGGAACTGCTACTGAATTAACTTCCCAGTTAGCCTCGGTGGGAAGTGTTCCACCCTGGGAACTTGCGGAGCGTAGTGCAGAACAGAGGAGTGTTTGTAAGCTGGTAAATGATTGATGCAGGCTAGTTTCATCCTTCCTGATCCTTGCCACTGGGTTCGAAATCCTAGCCATCTTGAAGGGTAAAGAAGGAAAACCAATCCTACGCCTTTAGGTCTTCATGTAGTGTTGAGAATAGCTTAAGACAAACCATAACCTGCCTGAGTCGTCCATATCAGCTTATAACTATGTCAATGGTATAGAAACACTGTATTTTAGTTTACAGAACACATTTAGTATTTTGTTTTCCATTTAATGTCTAGATATTAAAAATGAAGAAACTTGATTTTGTTTTTAGTAGAAGCCTTTTTTTTTGTTTTGCTTTGTTTTTTGTTTTCTTTTTAATTGTACATAGTGAAATGAGTGTTCCTGCTTTCTAGACAATGTATTTGAAAACCTTGAAATTAAGCTAACTTAAGTCTGACTTCACTTTGCATGCTTCTATTTGGCCCCTATTAGGAGAAAAAAAGATACTTGTATTGACTACATTACCAGTTTAATAAGACCATTTATGCTATAGTTTTTAAGTTTTTCTGTTTACATAGCTTAGTGACAACCATGCATTTTTCCCAGTAGGCAGATAGTATTTGCAGTGTTTCATATTTATAAAAAGAAAAACCTTGCATCTTATTTAAATTGAGAATAAAAGTTTGACTATGAATCATGATTTTTGTATGTAGATGGTTGACTTAGTCTTTTGTACTTTTCCCAGCTAAAGTGAGCTGTTTTGAGAAAGTGACCACCTTCAAAGTGGCAACAATCTTACTTAAGCAGATCACTGCTTTGTCTTCTTTCTGCTGGAAAACAGTCAATACCACCTTAGTTTTCCAACAGATTCAGCTGGCTGCCAGCTCAGAATACCAAGGACTGAAGGACATTTGACTCTTATTTTTGTATTTAAATGACATGAATGTAAAGGGGATGCTCAGGGTTGTTTTGGAGCCTGTTGAATTTTTATCTTTTTGCCTGTGATTTTATTTTCTAAATAAATACTTCATGTAGCAATCTTGAATATGTTGAGAAGGAAAATGCCAAACCATTTTGGTAATGAGGTTACTAGTTAAGTTATGTTACGATAGGTGTTAAAGTACAAACCTTTTTATTTGTTAATTAATCTTGAAGAAACACGTGCCTCAGTTTAGATGTTTTGTCTTATCTTTTCTGCACTAAATACCTGACAGTTTGACCAATCAATGCACCTTTCCAGTGGCAAGACTTGCTTATCGTAAATTATATTGTCACAATGCAAGATTTAGTGACTGTAAAATGGAATAAAGTTTAAAGTTTCAGGGAATGCAAAAGGTATTAACTTAAGAGACAAAACCTTTATTCAATATGCTTTGCTTCATACTGTAAATAGCTTTTTGGCTTGTGAACCTAATTGTAATCTTTCAGGTATTTTTGTACAAATAAGGGACTGATATTCTGTTTCTTGTAATTAGAAATAAACGTTAATACAATGCTATTCATTTTATATTGGAATGAATGTCATCTTTTGGAAATATCTGTACACCCTGTATCTCTTGCCTTAATTCTGGGTTATTTGGGGTGGGGTATATTAAAACACCTTTAAATTAAGCAGCCTTTAAGAAGAGTTAAGAGGAAGACAGAATCCCTGAGACATCTTTATCCTGGCTGTTCTGTCTTAGGATTCCAGTTAGGACAGACTGTCCTTTAGATGAACAAGAATTTGTTTAGCCCTTTTATTTGAGGAAAATTACCGGGAACATTCTTCTGTGATACTTAAAATATTCTTTTGGGAAAGTTTCTAGAATCAAAGCAAGAAATACACCGTGAGCATCTTTTGGGTCATAAAGCTGTAACTCACTGAAAATCTACACTCTACATAAAGCACTTTATTGGCCTAATAGCTGTTGGATCAGAAAACTTTTCAATAGCACTTTCAAAAACCAAGTATGTAGCCCTTTAATCCTTATTTTCATGTAGTCCATCAGCATTTGGGTGGAAAAGCACATCTGCAGTAAATATGTTTTTGCTTAGAAAGCTACTTTGGGCGGGGGGAGATTGGTGGTTCTTCTGGTAGATCAGATAAGAGAAGGTTGGAAATGTTTCACTTTTTTGTTGGACACAGTCCTTTTGTTTCTGCCTTGATAACCCATAGAAGCCATCAAATGCATTTCACTTCAAGCCTTAGTCACGCTGTGTCTTCATGTGAGTTTGTATTGCACCAATGCTCGAGTTCTGTGTTAGCGTGAAATTCATTCATCAGCACATAAAGGCAGAGTACTTATTTTGGGGTTTGATACTCCTCAAATTTTTTTCTATCCAGTGATGCCCATTTCATAGAATCATAGAATGGCCTAGGCTGGAAGGGACCTTAGAGATCATCTAGTCCAACCTCCCTGTCATGGGCAGGGACGCCTCTCAACTAGATCAGGCTACTCAAGGCTCCGTCCAACTTGGCCTTGAACACCTCCAGGGAGGGGGCAGCCACAACATCTCTGGGCAATTTATTCCGAAGTCTTGCCGCCCTCGTACTGAAGAACTTCTTCCTAAGATCCAGTCTAAATCTATTCCCCTTGTCCTGTCAGTGGACACTCTTGTAAAAAGTCCCTCCCCAGCCTTCCTGTAGGTTCCCTTCAGGTATTGGAAGGCAGCTATTAGGTCCCCCCGAAGTCTTCTCTTTTCCAGCCTGAACAATCCCAGCTCCCACAGCCTGTCCTCATAGCAGAGGTGCTCCAGCCCCTGGATCATCCTTGTGGCCCTCCTCTGAACATGCTTCAACAGATCCATGTCCCTCTTAGCACCAGAACTGGATGCAGTATTCAAGGTGGGGACTCACAAGAGCAGAGTAAAGGGGGAGGATCACCTCTCTTGACCTGCTGACCACGCTTCTCTTGATACATCCTAGGATGCGGTTGGCCTTCTGGGCCGTGTGAGCGCACTGCCGGCTCATAGTTTGAGTGCTTAAAGTTCATTATCCTGTGTGCAGCAACTTACTTTTTCACTGAGTGGAACGAAGGGGACTGCTTGCTTACAAAAGGTTTGAAAATGTTTCTTGCTTAGCTAAAGGAAGCTAAAGGAAACATTGAAACTTCGCCCCTCTGTAATCAGTAAAAGTAAAGGACCTATCATTCTACACAAACCTGTAAAAAGCAAGCAAATAGAAAAAATAACCCCAAAACCTCACCTTACTTTATTGTGTATATTAACGTTTGGAACAGACAAGAAGATGGCGTGGGAAAAAAAGAAGCAGGGTATAAAGATGTTGGTAAACCTGTCCGGTGTCCAGGCAGTTTTGTCTGCGTGGCAAATGCAAAATGGTATCTGTGGAAAGTAGATGTTAAGAGCAGGTACCTGTGCTATCAGAATGCCACGAGTACAAAATTGTCTGGGTCAGAACTGCGTATATGGTACAGATTTCAGTTAATTTCCTGACAGAAGGTTTCTGCTGCTTTTATATTAGTCATGGGACAACAGATACAAGCAGACATCTAGCCATCTAGCATGAAGTTCACCTGGCAAGACAAATTAAATGCACTTGAACCTACAAATAAATTTGTATTGGACTAGTGTTTTACAACATGTGGCTGCACAGATACACAGAACCCTACAATTTTATTTTAACACCAAATTGCTGCT